TCAAGAGGCTTAAAACCCGCCTCAGCTCCAGCTCTCAGCCTGTCGTTAGGTTGACTGAAAGTTAGACTGAGACAGGATTTCCAGCATGCAGACTGCTGCTGATGAGCCTCCAGGGTCCCCTGCTGGAACAGAGGGGTGACATCACTCAGGCTTCAAACATTCATATTTACAGTCTGTGGTCACAAACAGAGAAAGTCGACATTTCACATAAACCTAGAGTTATGTCATCAGGAGAGTTTTAGTTCAGACTTTTTTTTTCATATCAGCGAACAGAGAGGATGTAGGAGCCAAGTTACATTCATACATGTTGAAGTAAATAAATAAGCAGTGTTATTTTGGGTTGAAAGTTAATCTTTATTTTAGGGATTTCATTGTGTAAGTTAAGTTATAAAATGTATTAAAAGTCTGCTAAAGGTAATTTGATTGAATTCATGTGGATTTTCTGTAAAGTTAAAAACAGTATTGCTGTTAGGGCAGTGAGGTAGGTTACTGTCCCTTTAAGAGAGAGTAAGGGAGGGTTAGACTGGTTTCAGTCAGTTGAGGATCAATTAAGGACCGAGCCACATGGTTTCCTTACCGTAGTATATTTAATTGATAAGGAAAACTTGACTTTGAATCATCCAGTAAGATTGTTTAACAAAACTGTGGATTAAAGGAATTTTGTTTTATCAATTTTTCTCCAATGGTTAAATACAAATAGAACAGCACTTTGCAACTTCTCTGTAACCATGACTACATGATTTCATGTAGCAAAAGCTTTTTTTACGTTTTTCACTTTACTCACTCACAGCCACGGCTCTTATAAAAAGTTCTACTCAATATAAGCCTATTATATAAATGTATTCGTTGTGGGATAAATAAAGGTTTATCTTATGGACTTATATGCTCTCTGTCTCTCTTGTTCATGTTTATAGACTTGCAGTAGAGTTCTGAATTAGCTGTAGTTTCCAAATAAACTTTTTTAGTAGACTGTAAATAGAGCATGGTGTCACCTTCCTGTTTTTTTACCGTCTCTACCTTTTTCCCGTTTTATGGCGTTTGTTTACCTTTCAATTCTTGTGGGCTTCCCCGGGAAATCATATGTTTCACGTCACAATGGTATGAACCATGGGTAATTCCCAAACTCAAAGTCTGCAGATATGCCCACTTACGGACAGAGTGCATAAAAGGGCTCGTAAAGTCAGTGAGAGATCACTCCTCACTTGATGATTGGACAGTGGGACGGCACTGAGCCCTCACAGACTGAGTGTGTGAGGGTGGACTTCAAGATTGGGCCACAGATGCAGTAATGTAAAAACACGGTGCTCACCAGATTCTCAGTTGGTCTGTAGCACAACAGATGGTTTAGCAATTCAAACTTGTACCTTTGTGACTCAAACTCACTAACAGCCCTGCAGGAACATGCAGTGAAACCCTCACTGACGTTACTAAAGTGTTGCCAAGGCTTTAGCTGCTGAGGAGAGAGGGAATGTGACGGATAGCGAGCTCTCAGTGTGGAGGGCACGCCTGCTGAGGTTTCAGTGGAGGGACATGCTGTGAGGAGTTGACTTCATTTCCTGGAGGAACCAGAGTGAACTGGACTTTCCTGAATCTGATACACCAAATGTGTTTGTTTCCTTCTGTTAGAAACACATCAGGTTGCACATGTCGTACAACGCTGTCATTGTACTGGGGGAGTGATAGTGGTCAGAAAAAAGAGAAAGTGAATGTAGAACAGTGTGTGCACCTCTGGTATCATTTTTCTCTACCCTGATCCTGCACTGGTTTTACTGGTGCAAAAATAGAAAGTAAGGGTAACTCTTCCTCTAATCTAAGATAGTTTTGTCCAAATCAAGATATACAAGTATTTTAGTCTGTTTTAAAAAATTATTTTTACATCGATTATTTTTCAACCTTTCCATCCTACTTACTCTGCATGCTGACCCTCTTTCTGCAACCACAACCTGTGTCCATTCGCTTTCAAGCTGTTTAAACTTCAACCTTCCCCATGTCTCTTTCTGTTCCTCTACTCTGTTTAAAGCAAATTTCTCACCGTCACGATCACACTCGAAAACTCCTGTTCACAAAGTGTGCGCCGAGAGGAAGCAGGGAGCGGAAGAATGGAGGGGTAGAGGGAGGAAAAGGCAAACAAGGATAGCAGGCTAATTTCAGTCTAGAGTCTAGACCTCAGTGAAGAATGGTTTGTGGTGTACACACGCACATGCACTCCCACACACACACACGCACGCACGCACGCACGCACGCACGCACGCACGCACGCGCACACACACACAGACACACACACACACACACACACACACACACACACACACACACACACACACACACACACACACACACAGTGGAAATGCAAAAGGGACTGTGTACGCTTTAACCACAATTTTAAGCAACTTTCAATCACATCTCATTGTCTTTATTTTTTCCCAACATGTAACTTGCTATTTCTTCTCCATGGTCAAAAATGACATCATTATGTCCTTAACAAATACTCTTATTTACAGCCACCATGATTGTCTTTTTGACCTTGCAGAAGATCATTTGAATGGACCTTGATCCCATTAGGAAAGCTACATCTTCTGTCCTCCCTGTCCTGCCTGCAACCTTGTGTGGAGTGCTCTTGAGCTATAATTAATACCCAGAGTACTTTTAAAACACATTAAAGAAATGCAAAAGGAAAACAAAACAACATAAATCTGTCCTCACACCTCCAGTTATTTATTTTAGTCTTTGTTGTTTTAAAGCTTTTCGAACTAATTTGTTTCTATTAAAGAGCTGAAGCCAGCTTAAAGGGTTTGACAGACTGATCTGTTGGGAGTGTTCTTCATTTGTTCTTCACTGTTTTCCATTCAGGAGTGTTTGTTTGTGTAACAGTGTTTGTGTGTGTGTTTTAAGAAAAGAAGGTTTGAAATGTAAACAAAGACGGTTGTGACTAAATGACTCACCTGCTGACTCGCTTTATGTAAATGTCAGGTTATCATTTTTGCCATAGTTTTTAAAAATCTCTCTTCAAATCAACTTTATGTCCTAAGCATGAATGTTTGAGTAATGAAACAGTCTAAAATAAACTTTTTTAAGACCTAAAAAAAATACCTTGTATATTTTGTATATGACCAACATACCAGCATAACATCATCATGATGGTATACAATATCAAATTCTGTCAGAGCAGGCAAAGTACAAGAAATAAAAACAAAAGGATGTATGAGTTATATATCAGCTGCTTCAGTTTCAGGGTCCTGGTACCGTCATTGTTTAACTTGACCTTGAATAGACCTGTCTGTCATCAACAACACCTGTCCTTTTGCGACCCTGTTCTCTTCCAAACATATCTCTACAGACTCTCCTTTCTCTTTTCTCCTGTGGGAATAATAATAATAATAATACATTTTATTTATAAGCGCTTTTCAAAACCTCAAAGACACTGTACAATAGTTAAAAACAGAAAGATCAGCACAGTAAGGACAGACTAACAGACATTGCAACATTACACACAAATCATAAAGATAACAACAATAAAGGTAAAACTACAGAAAACAGGAACTACATCTAAATCATACATTAAAAGCTTGTTTGAAGAGGTGAGTTTTGATCAGTGATTTGAAAGTAGGAGGGTCGGTGCAGTGTTGAATGTGTGTAGGGAGTGAGTTCCAGAGGGAGGGGGCAGCTATGGAGAAGGCTGATGGTGACAGTGGGTGGGGGGGGGGGGGGGGGGGGGTGTTGCGTGCACAGGGTCTGGGTCTTTTGGGGGTGGTAGCTGTTTGGGTTGTTGTGGTGGGGCCGTGTGGTGGTAGGGCGTGGGGGCGTGGTCAGGATGGGATGTTTCTTCAGGACTTGGGCAAGAGTATCTTGTGCTTTCATCAAAAACCTTTTCATTTACCTTCAATTTTGTTTTATAATTTGACAATGCATGCATTTTTATATCATTTGCTTGTTTTCATTTTAAAGCACTCTGTAACTTCTTTTTGAATAGACCTATATTAACAGTTACTTTTATTATTATTTCATGCAAGACAAAATGTCCGCTCTGATCAAGACCTGTTACTCTAATATTTTCCTACAGCAAACAGTTATGTGCTGTAACACCTTAACTTTCTAATATTCATGTTAGTATATCATTTAAAATAAATCAAATTATTACTCTTTACTTGACTTTTGCTCAGTGTTTCATTGACAGATTTGTTACCCTTTATACAAATATATGGTTGGATATAAGTGTGGCACATACTGTCAAAGCAACACACTACTTCACACAACATGAGTCATACAATAAAGACACATAAAGATATTGAAGTATGGTACATTAAATGTGTTTTCTCTGTGTGTTGGTGCCTGCTTTCAATCATAGGTGTAGAATGGGGACTCCATTTCCCAGCAGCAAACGGAGAGTACCAGTCTCCGATTAATTTGAACTCCAGGGAGGCTCAGTACGACCCGACCCTCCTCGACGTTGGCCTGTCACCGAACTACGTGGTGTGTCGAGACTGTGAGGTCATCAACGATGGACACACTGTTCGCATCATTCTCAAGTCCAAGTCGGGTAACAGATCATTACACAATACTCTTTGTTTGACAAATGAGAAAGCAGGAAGCATGTTTAGATTGTGCTGACTGCCACTATGGTTTAGTGGTGAGTTTTTTCCCCACACATTTATGAAATGTGTGAAAAAAAAGAGTTCACTGTTAATGACCTCCTTTCTCTCTTTTACTTTCACTGTGACTGCTTTGTCTTCTCCTTCCTGTATGTGTTTGCTAACAATGTTATCTGCTCTGTTGCCAGTGGTTACTGGGGGGCCATTGCCAAGTGATCATGAGTATGAGCTCAATGAGGTTCGATTCCACTGGGGCAAAGAGAACCAAAGAGGATCAGAGCACACTGTGAACTTCAAGGCTTTCCCCATGGAGGTAGAGCAAGCACCCACCTACATCAACATACACCCATCCCCCAATCCCCCATCAAAAACTAACATAGGGCCATGACCATGAAATAGGGTGTGATTTTGCAGAGGACCAACTCCCTCCCATCTGTTTAGACTTCTGGCAGGGACATTTGTCCTTCAGATTATATTGTAGCTTGTTGAGTCCTTGAAAAGTTTTATCTTTTGAAAAGTTTTATCTTTTCAAGCAACACTTGTAACATAAGACTGAAGCTAACCTTATATCATTAATGTAAACAGGAGTGTAAAGAGTAAAGCATACTGTACTCAAGTAAAATTAAAGTTACTCTGATTAGATTGTACTGAAGTGGAAGTGGAAGTAAAAAAACTGGTCTATGAATCTACTCAAGAAGTAAAAAACTAAAAGTACTTTTTATATATCTGGAGGGGTGATCTCACTCGTCTGTGCTGTAAAACAACACTGTGAGAATATGAATCTCCAACTGGGTTGCTTAATTAAACACCTTTAAAGTACAGTGCAATGTAACAGCACATCGTGGTTGGTGGAATTATTAATCTGGATATGATCCAAACTGAAAGAAGCTTTAGCAGAAACAGCTGCTTAAATGAGCTCAGGGATTCACTTGACTTTGACTTGACCTCATCCTGCCATCAGAAATGTTCGTTGTAGTTTCTTCACCATGTTAAAAGTGCAGCTCCATCAGGGTTAAAGGCAGATATAATATTTTTGTAAAACAATGAACGAAAGATCCTAAAGGATGATTTAAAAAATGCACATTACTTGTCACTTACTGTCCACTACAGGATCACATTAACACTTAACACATCCTATTTTCTGACAACAGAAGAAGCTTCAGAGGGAGACATCTTTGCAAATTTTTCCTCTTTGATCAGAGTTGCACTATAGCACTGATCGTAATGGAAGTTGTATGTAGAAGATTCTTCTTTTGTTGTTTTAGACCTCAAAATGTTTGTTAAAGGATTGTTAACAAGTATAAAAATGCTAGATACTTATTTTTTTTTATTGGTTGGTTGGCTGGTTGGATGGATGGTTGGATGGACAGATGGATGGATGGATGGTTGGATGGACAGATGGATGGATGGATGGTTGGATGGATGTTGGATAGATGGTTGGATGGTTGGATGGATGAACAGATGGACAGATGGATGGATGGATGGATGGATGGATGTTCGATGGATGGATGGATGGATGGATTATTGATGGATGGATGGATGGATGGATTATTGATGGATGGATGGATGGATGGATTATTGATGGATGGATGGATTATTGATGGATGGATGGATGGATGGATGGATGGATGGATTATTGATGAATGGATGGATGGATTATTGATGGTTGGATGAATGGATGGATGGATGGATGGTTGAACAGATGGATGGATGGATGGATGGATAGATGGACGGATGGATGGATGGATGGATGGATGGATGGATGAACAGATGGATGGATGGATGGATGGATGGATGAACAGATGGATGGATGGATGGATGGATAACAGAAACATTGAAGGTTGTCCCAGTTGAATCTACTGGTGAAGTTTGATAAATCTCATGGCGTTAATATCACCCTGGATACTGAGATGGTCCCAAAGTCTGACAGTAAGGAGGAGGAGACTCACATCCCTATTGTGGAGGGCTATGTAGGACCTACATGGTGCCAGACCCCCCCTGGCCTGTTCGGCCTCCATGTATTTGAAACACAAGAACATCTACTCTCTATACATCAGAGATCACTAAGACTTCACATAGGGAACTCATTTTCCAACGTATTTGAATTAAAGCAAGATAAAAAGGATGAAGCTTTCAGACTTCTGAAGAATAAATGTGTGTTCTGGTCTGATATTTGTTTGTTTAAGGGGCCAACTCCTCCACCCTGTTCACACTAACTTGGCATAAGAGCCCATATGGAAAGCCCTCAGTCAGCCCCAGCTGGTGGTTTCCCCCCATTCACTTAACTCCTGTTCCCTACACCTGTTGAAAACAGCCTCTCTCTCTGCAGCTCCATCTGATTCACTGGAACAGCACTCTGTTCAACACTTTGGAGGATGCTCTTGGGATGAAGAATGGAGTCCTTGTCATATCTCTTTTTGTGCAGGTAAATTAAAATAGGTATGGACATATCAACCAGTCCTGAAAAGTAACATAAGCCAAATGAAGCTTGATGAATATCAGGTTTTACTCTCCCTTGTGTCTGGTAAATTATAGTAGCTGAACCAGTGTGTGCCACATATTTTTGAAAAATATTTTAAACATTTTAAGTATCTGCATGCATTTGCAGCTCCATTGCTCTCATCAAACATTTTCAGCAGCTTGAAGTGCTTTTCCTTCCTGGGATTGTCAGTGAACCGGTTCATTCCAGGTTATCTTCATGTGCAATGGTACTTTGACACAAGTTGGAAAATACCGTCTGCTACATTCCTGTGAAATTACTCTCTGTTGAATTGGCCCGTAACTCTGTCGGTTTAATAAAACCAATCAGACCTCAGAAATTGACGTTCATTTTTAGAGATCTCAGTTACAGCAGTTGGGGACAACACACCCATCAAAAACAGCACACACACATTTGATAGCAGTGTTGTTCTGGTTCTACCCTAAACAGGCCTGACACGGCCAACCTCACACATCCTGCTTATGACAGCTCCTTCAGATTTTAATTCCTGTTTACTTCTTTTAAGGATACAGAGTATAGACTAAGATCTGATAAAAAATAGCTGATATGTTCTAGATGGGTTCTTAAACTTTGCTAACCAAGGACCCTCATATGGCAAGAGCCTCCAGCAGGGACCCCCCTCCTGCAACATTTCTTAAAATCTTTGTAGGTTTAAATGGTTTTTACTATATTTTGCTATTTTTATTTACAATTAATAATCTTGTTATTCATTCAATTTACTTTCTTAAACAGTCATTATCATTTCTACAACTAACTACAGCTGCCTTTTATCAGGCAGAAACCTCGAACAGAACCAGACTGATGTTGAGCAGCCGTCTGCTGCGACCGTGTTGGAATGTGTTGGGCGCTTATTATCGTTTTTTGGAAATACATTAATAAAACTGATGTCCACCAACAGGTCATACTGTCACCTGAAATGTGTTGTTTGTTTTTATCAGATTGGTAAGGAGCATCTGGGTCTGAAGGCCATCACTGAAGTTCTTCAGGACCTGCAGTACAAGGTTAGACTACAAATGAAACCATCAACCGTTAAGATCTTACAGACATTTTATTACATCCTATAAGGCAATAATTAGATAAAAAGTGTGAAAATGGATGCATAATGACAATACCTTCTGTTGTTTTTCTGTTTTTATTAGGGGAAAAACAAGATCATCCCCTGCTTCAACCCCAACACTCTGTTACCTGGTAAGCAGATTTTTTAAAGATATAAATGTATTTAAAAAAAAATATTTCAAGCACATGAAGCCTTGGAAAACCTCATAAAATCATCTGTTCTTGACCCCCTTATTCTTAAACACAACCAGTACTGTTGAAGAGTCAACAATGTGTGGTGGATAAAGTAGCTCCAGTTGTCTCCGTAATCCTTCAACTAAGTCCCTCAATTATTCTTTGTAGGTATGGCAGAGATTTAGACTTCCTTTGTAGTAGGAGTACTGTTACTATTTCAGTCAGCATGTGGTACACCACAAAGATTACAGAAAGGTGAAATGTTATACCCACATATTAAGTCACGACTCTGTAGAAGTCATAAACTGTTTGTGTTTGCTCTTCAGTGGAGGCAGTTGGGAGTTTAGCTGCACAAAACTATAAAAGCTACGCTGCCAAAACTATACTTTTCGTATACTTTAAAGTCAAAAATATCTCTTTACATTAAATATAAGCCACATTCACTTGACAAGTCCAGATCAGCTCTTCTTTCAATATATGTAAAGAAAAAAATACGGCTTGTTGTAAGAAAAAAAAATCTCCCAATTGGGAAAAACAATTTTACTTGTTTAGCATCTCAAAACGTGATGTTTATATTTAACTTAGTTCATACATCTTATTATTATTCACTATTCAGGCATTATTTCTTGCTTTTGTATGCTTTGTATAAGATGTGAATCTGGACTTCACAGGCGAATCTAGCTTGCAATAAATGGAGTGAGACAAATCAGACCAATAAGCTTGCTAAGATTGAGGTTTTTGCAGTGTTGGGTTAAAGTGTGTGTAGGATCAAAACTGGTTGTTCTTCTCTTTTGTTGAAAGAGCCCTCATACAAAATAACTTTTTGGCAGTTTGGTTTACCATGTTTTGGATCTCTCAAGGTAGCTTGCCTGAAAGCTTCATCATCTGTGTTGCTGAGTAAGCATTTGTTTGTTCTGTGTCAGAAAGAGGCAGATGATTTGTGGGCTGCAGAGCTTAAAGGGATACTTCACCTGTTGAAACATGAATCTGTACTGACATTGGGTCATATATGTAGTAGAAATATGAATTTTGTTTTTGAAGTTGGTGCCTTCTTGGCCGAGAAAAGACAGGAAGTGTCTTTTTGGCTGTGGATGAAAGACAACAACTCCCAGAATGCACAGCAGCCGCTGCCTGTTCCTCCATCAGCCTCAACTGCTCGCCGCTATAATGCGGCTATTAGAGATAGCCACGAACATCGGATTCGAGCACAAGACCTTCAAAATCCCCTTCATCCATATCAGTTTGAAGTTGAAACATACTTTTATGAAACTGTTGGTTCTTATTAGCTTTCTCCATAGAGCCTGTTAGCAAGCAATATGGCGGACGTTAAGTTTCGATTCTGGGAGTGAGTTCCCACCCACTGACCTGTGATTGGTCTGTAGCTTCAGTGGGTCCACTCCCTCCCCCCATTGGCAGCTTGAAAACATGACGAACTAGCAATGTAGTTTCACCCCCTCTAACCAAAGTAGCCACCGATGACGCAAAATGACGATTTTTGTGTCACTGGAAGCTCCTTTTCAAACTTAGAAATACAGATCTTTCCAGTCTCAGGGGAAAAAAAGGGCGGGATGATCGACCATTCAAAAATACTACCAGGTTTCTAATGATACAATGCTTAATGCAAATGGGTGAAGTATCCCTTTAAAGAATCTTGGTTTTATGTATTTATTTTTTGTTACCAAACTGAAAGCAGATTCAACATAAAAACAGCTTTTACCATTTTTTAAGTGTCTTAATGTGTTTCACATGAAATGGTTCCTCTGCCCTCAGACCCCTTACTGAGAGACTATTGGGTGTATGAAGGCTCTCTGACCACACCACCTTGTAGTGAAAATGTGACCTGGATCCTCTATCGCTACCCTCTGACCATCTCACAGTTACAGGTAAGACATGAATCAAACAAAACCTGAGAACATCAGCGTCTGTTGTTCTCCTCATCCCTGGTGATAGACACACATACAGAGGTCTCTGTCAGTGGCAGAATTATGGGTAATGTAGGCAGAAAGAACAAAAAGAACAACAATGTGAGGAATATCAAAATCTGTGGCTAATTATGCATTATCGTTAACCGTCCACCTTGGGAGCGTAATGCTTAGAAGTGTTTTTAAACTCAGTCCTCATTGTTAAGAGTATTTTAACCATTCTGCTTTTAAATAATAAAAGGTAATTTTAAGTGCTGTCAAACAATTACTTTTTTAATTTTCAATTAATCTCATGGTTGAAATTCAATTTTTTCAAGGTTCAAGGTTTCATAACAAAACAAATGCAAGGGGAAGAAGACCAGAGAGAATACATTAGAACAAACATGATAAATTACATCCAGTCATGAGGAAGTTATTTAACCTCGGATTCAGAAAATGGCACCACTTCCTGTTACAGGAAGAAATTAACTTTAACTGTATAAGTTAATTAATTAATCAGTCAGTTTCATATCTTGAAAGAAGTAAGTTCTAGAAATGTTAAACCAGAAAACACACAGACAAAGTTCTGAATTTCACGTGTAAAATTTAATATGGAAATGGTAAACAATAAGGTATAGATGAAACAGATAAAGAATACGATTCTTATGATCGGGATAATGCAATTATAATGTATGGTGACATTATATATTTAGTAACAAGATAAGACACGGCTTTGTTTGAATGACTTAATCAGCAAATGATCAAAAAGAAAAAAAGTTGATAAACGAATTTTGGGATTCTAATTGGATTTAAAGGAGGGCTCTGAATAGACACAACTCACGACTTAATCTCTCAACACCCACTGCGGAACCAACACTCTTACTGTGAGGTGAGTTTGATTGAACTCGGACGGCTGGTCCCGCGTTTCAGTCTCCAGCAAGTAGTTCTTTTCAGGCCCAGAGAGGTCCACGGGCCAGATTAGATTAGCACCTGGGTCGGAGTATGCAGCTAGGATGGAGGTGGAATGGCAGTTCAGCCGTCGTGGTTGTGTCGACACCAACTCCAAGTGGATCCAACAGGAAAAATATTAAAGAGCCTATTGATACGTTGATTTCCAATTTAAATTAAACTGATGGCCATCTCTGTGAATCCAAATTAAGAAATTGGCGTTCAAAATTGAAGAGCAAAGACTTTGGAGAAGAAAGTTCAAAAGCCTTGTTTGAGAAAAAATAATTGATGTTTCAAAAATGTGCGTTGAAAATAAAAGTTCAGCAGAGATTCGTCTCTCTACGGCGCAAACTTAAGAGTCTCAAGGTGATCCGAACTGAAGTCCGAAGAGAAGCGGAAGAAAAAAACAAGAACAAGAGATCTGAGCTGAGTCTGAACTTTTATCAGCTGCAAGAGAGGGGGGCCGCCCAAGGGTTACTCCCACTCTGACCGGAGGACATTTGTTAAAATTAAAACGAGTTTACTCAATAAGATTAAGAATAAGAATCTAAACATATACACGTCACCATACATTAATTTCGATATTATTCCTATCAGATCCACGTTGATGTAGGTTCACTTCATATATTTAGACATGCATTTCTATCAGATTCATGTTGAGATGAAAATCACACCATCTGGGAACATCCTCAGTTAATCCCAGCATGTACAAAACCATGTTATACAGTCAACATTCTTAATAAGACATATTAATAAAAGAAATTGGTGTCTTTAAATAACACCGTCTATAGCTAATATCAAAGAGTATGCTTTATAACACACCTAAATGTATAATTATGCGGGTTACGTATTCATGGAAATTCTAACACTAGATGGCAATAGCGCTCCACGTCAAATTCCTATTAAACTATTAAAACTATTATTTGTATTCCGAACATCAGATTTTGAGTTTAAAAATATGATTACAATACATTCAATGTGACAATTACAAATATCTAGATGAAGAAAGACATAAATGTTCATTTGATGCAGAATTGAACGCTGTGGTTTGATCAGTTTTTCAGCAATCCTTCAACAGATGGTCAATTTTTACAACTTTGTTGTAATGGTTTCGGTGATAGTTCATGTCTTTGGGGTCAATTCGTACATAGCAGAGTGTTCTGTTTCCGCTTGGATATTTACTCCAGGCGTTGTAAATGTTTATAATATCCTGTCCTCCAGAGCCTGTCTGAGAGGGAGACTTAAATCATTGATCAGTTCCTTTGTTTCTTGGTAAAAGTAACCAAGATGTAATCGACATTGCTGAGTCCTGCAGAAAGAGAGGTTGTAAAACGTGGCTGCTAAAATTGGCTACACTCGCTCCAGAGTTTAAAATATCCTGGCATGGTTAAAGTGCATCATTTTTAAATTTTCGCATTTACAAATAAAAATTGTGAGGCTTTTATTTTGAATTTTTGTACTGTCTTAGGCGGAGAGTCCTTTACTTGCTGTATTATTTAAACCTGCTTTTATTTTGAAATAAAGTAAGGACCTTCTTCTGGATCGAAGGTTACAACATGAAATTAACCACAGAAAAAGGAACTCGTGACAGATCAAAAACTGACGTCAAACAGCTCTATGGAACGGTAACAAAGGTCAATGTGTGATGTCATAAGGTCAATGTGTGATATCATAAGGTCATTGTGTGATGTCATAAGGTGGATATTACTTTGGAGTCGACAGCTGAGCTGTCTGAGAGTTTGTTAAAGTGAAATGAGACATTCAAAGATGTAGCAGTGTCCTTCTTTTACTTCACTGAGACTACAGTGAGACTCTGAGGAGGATGCTCTACGGTGAGCCTGAAGGGACAAAATAGCATCCGAGTTATCGCGGCTAAAAAAAGATGTATGCATTAACTTCAGACATGAATGAATCCAGATTAAATTGTTAATGCTAACAGCCCTATAGGTGTTAAACACAATTCTTTCTTCTTTTTACATCTCATCGTTATACATCAGTTTGAGCGCCTTTTTGTTTTGCCCTTAAGAACTTATTTTATGTAACATGTTAAAATGTTATAATTGAAGTCCGTTAGAGGTGTGAGGTTGTTCCCAAGTTGTTAACATTGACCTTAAGTTATTCTCTCTTCTCAGAAAACGTCATGAACATTCAGAGTTACTAAAGAGCAAATGTAGACGATTTCAAAGTTTTTTTTTATTTGAGAACATTTTTAGTTTAGTCATCAATTTAAAAAAAACCCATTACTTAAACATGCAGGAATGTTATTTTCCTTTATGAGTTCTGTCCCCCCAAGTGTGTCACATTGATTGAATAGATATATATCTTAACTCAGGTTGCTGTAACATATGATGATTCCTCTGATAGTTATTTCAGTATTTCATCTTTAGTCTGCTGACTCTTGGAAATGTGAAAAGAAAAGACTTCTTGCAGTCCTCTTGCCTTAGACAATGTCTGTATTGTTGTGGATGACTTCAAAACACTTCAGCTCAATTATTCCCTGCAGGGAAAAAGCCATTTAACTCACATTCCTATACATGGCATAGTCCATAGATGTCCCTTTGCCCATCGTCAGATCAAACAATAAAACATCAATAAAACAAACAAGATGTGAAATAATTACAGCAGAAAGCAGGCGATAGCGAGTCATACGAGAGACATACAAGTGACACAATCATCATTATAAGTTTTTAGCATAAATGCTATCTTGCTGCCGAGATTACACCACAGATGCTTAACTGAGATTCAAAAGCTTTTTGTCTTAACAACTGAAACTACTCCTGTCCAGGAGAGATCACACTGGGTACTATTTCTTAGAATACATTTCCAACAGCCTCTTTTCATATCATCTGTTCTCTGCTCATTGTGTTCTTGGGCTTTTCTTGCTTGTGCTGCATTTTTTTTTTAAGTTTTCAGACTTAACCTGAGGCAACAGTAACTCTTCAATAACTTCCTCTTCACTTTGTGGCTTTGGGGGATAACAGAAAAGAATATTGCTGCAATTAAATTAGAATTGGGCTTTAAATTGAGAATTGAAGTTGGTTTTTTTTAAGTAATTTTTGGGACTTTTTGACTTTATTGGATTATTGGATGGGACAGCTGAAGAGAGACGGGAAATGTTGGGAATAGAGAGAGCGGGACGAAATGCAGCAAAGGGCCGAGGTCAGATTCAAAACCCTATAGCCTCTCTACATGAGGTGCACATAACACCCAAACAATATGTAATTAGTTGTAATAAGCAAACTACCAATAGAAGCGTAAGAAAACAAGATGGTTTTTAGAATATGTCGTGTGACCTTTAACTTTTTCTCTCACATTTTTCGATGGTAACCTATAAGATTTTATTGAACCTCTGCTGAATAAAGAAAAACAGGAGAATAAGTGCTACAGACCTGCAGGTCCTGCTTGCTTGAAAACACACCTCAAACATCCGGCTATTATCAACTGCTGAAAGACAAAGAGTGTGTGCACAGTGTAAATGTGCATGCAAAAATGTGTGTGTTTGTCATTCAACCGTTGCCATGCCTACACGTTTTGCACTTTGACAGAAGGTTATAAATTCTCCTTCTGTCAGCCAGTGGTACAACAGCACAGGAACAGTTTTCTGTTTGTTTTGGCCAACTCGTAAGACACTGAACTGTAGGCGTAGATGTTAGATATTATCATTAGCCACTGTCACACATGAGCAGGAAGTCAAATGTTTGGATCCTTTCGGTCACAATTTTGAGCATTTTTTGTTTTTCTGTGAGCAACAAAACAACCAGAGAGTTCTTGGAGATGATGTAAAAAAATGGTTAATTTTCACAGGTCTATACGCAGGGCAGGGAAATGCAAAGACATTTTATTCCTACACTGTTGTTATACTGTAACAGCTTCTTTCTCTGTTATAAAGGACTCCACATTGGTCCCAGTTTTTTTTAAAATCTTTTCACCTTGAACTCCACACTTAAGAGTCTATCATCTGTCATCACAGCATCCAACAGCCTGAGTAAACTGTGAGTATTTGAAGTCACAGATTGCTAAACTTACCTTTTTAAAAAGCAAACTGACAAAATCAAGTCACCATCATTTATCCTTTTGCAGGGACTCGGTCGTTATAAATCACCGTCACGCTTTATTACTTTAAATATAATTGAATCAATCAGTTAGTCGATCAGTCGTTTTTGTACTCCTTGCACCATACTCTTTCTGACTATTTATAGAGCCTGCACATGAATCCTACATGAGCAAAGCACTCGGCAACATTTAGCAAGTAACAACAGTAAGGAAAAACTAAGGGATGCACCAAGGCATTTCAAAATGAACCCAAAGAACTGTAGCTTCCACCAGCTGTCCAAAGACATGCTCGTTAGGTTAACCAGTGACTCTACCTTTCCTGTAGGTGTGACTGTGAGTGTAGCTGTCTCTATGGGACAGCCCTGTGATTGACTGGCGACCAGTCCAGGGTACATCCGACTCTCGCCCAACGATGGCTGGGATCAGGGATGGCGCCAGGATTGTTTGTCTCCCGGTGCTGAGGGGGAGCTTGACTAATACGTTTGGATGCTATGAATAATCAATTTTCATGAATTCATTGTTACTTTTTGAGTTCTATCTTTTTTTTCCAAATAAAAGCAGACATACATAAGGGCTTAACCGGGGCTAGACAGATTTGTGATGGGGCTATAGCACCCCCAAGCCCCTGGTGTTGTCACGTAGTGTTGAATACAAGGGAGGTGGACCCAAGTGCAGAATAACCAAAAATATTTATTTAAACAAAAAGGTGAAAAGGCAAACTAAACTTACTTCAAAAATCACAAAGGTAAGACCACAAGGAACCTCGAGGAGATATGGGTTACAACAACTACACTCAACAAACAACTAACAAACAATGAACTGACAACACAAGGGAAGGAACACAGAGACTAAATAGACACAGGGGTAATCAAACACAGGTGAGACCAACAAGACACAGGTGAAGACAATGAGGGCAATCAAGGCAGGAAGAAAACACAAGTCCAGAAACACTAAAGACACACAGAACTCAATAATGTAACATTACACAAGAACATAAAGAACACTAGGATATGAAGATACAAAATAACAGGAAACACTAAAGACTAGACTATGAAACATTAAGACAAAAACACACTAAAGGCAAGTTTCACGGAGGGAAAAATAAACTACAAAATATAACTGGAAACACTAAAGACAGAGAACTCAATTTACCAGGAACAATACACACTAGGACAAAGAAACACAGGTATAGGAAATACAAACAAAAACACTAGCAACTAAGCTAGGAAAACAGAACTACTAAAACAGGAAATATAAACTGAAAATACAAACTACGTAAGACTAAATCATGACAGGTGTAGCGCCGTGCTTGGTTGGGATCAGCTCCAGCACCACCAGTGTAGATAATGAACTGATGAATAGTGTGGTACAAAAAAAACTATTTTGTACTAAATATATTAAGTCTTTATCGGCACACACTGTACAGGGCATAAATATTTTTATAATGCATCTGCTTTGATTTTTATGAAGGATAAGTTCGGCATAATTAGGGCCATGACCGATCTGACTGCAAGCTAGCACGTTGCAACTGTCCGCCAGGAGCCTTAAGGCTGCCTCAGCTTCACCACTTGTCTAGTTTGAAAAAAAAGTTAAGTTGAGACAACATTTTCAAAATGGCCACTACCCTCGATCGGCTTCAAAATTCCCCTCCATTAAACATGGACATCACTGAGCCTACATCCATGTTTTATACAGTCTCTGGGATGCACTGAATACTTGATAGTGAATATTAGCAATCAGCCACCTTAGTCCAGGAATATCATTATTGATCTTAAGGAAACTTCCACCATCCTGATTAAACCTGTTTTTGTATGAGACCTTCAGATATGCATGTGACCTTGTTTAGCCAATTAAAAGACGCCTACCTGGTTTCTCTCCACAGATTGAGGAGTTTCGGAGGCTGCGGTCCCATACTAAAGGGGCAGAACTGCTAGAAGGAAATGATGGGTTGTTGGGGGACAACTTCCGTCCCACACAGCCGCTCAGTGACCGGACAGTTCGCGCCGCCTTCCAGTAATCTTCCCTTTCCACGGATGATTCAGAAAAACGATGGGACCTAACGGTACAAGTATGAAAGGTCATTTTCATTTTTTACAAGTTCTTCTTTGTACCATTTTATCAAAAGATATGCGTTAGCTATAGCCGCGGCCCATGAATGTAAAATCCTTCTCCTGACTTGTACAGTTAACTCATTTAACATCTAGCTGATACAGAGCTAAGTTAGGATTTAACTAGAGCTTTGAATGCTTCTGCTTTTATCTCTGTTTTGGTCATATCTGGCTCTTAAGCTGATAAGTGCCTGACAGTGTTTTGGGTCCAGGCACTTACTTTGTCAGTCTGCTGTTTAGTGCAGGACAGGCACTACAAAGTTGGTTTATCAAAGCTCATCCACTGAGAGGTGAGAGAGAAATGAAAAATAAAGCTGCAGCCATTAAACCAAGATAATGAAATGCTAAAATGTTCTGTAAAGCTGAGGGAGACTGCAGAGGTAAATCACTGAGTGCTCTTCATTATTAGTGAGTGACCCACTTAACACACTTTAGTAATTGAATCCATTGTTAATGAAAAATAAATAATTAGTGCAGCTATAATTTTACATTTTCATAAAAGAAAAAGATTACAAATTAGTAAAATAAAGGAAAGAATGAATGTCAACCTTTTGATCTTTCTTGGACCATATCACCAAACACTGTTCTCTGTATTCTTCATTCAGCACATTTCCTGATAAGGGACAGAGTGTTAATGGAAGTAGGTGCACTGTCCCAGAGGTATTTGGGTCCTCTGAAACCACAAAGTAATGGATCAAGCCCTGGAAGAACTAACCCAGTTCAGTTACTTATCTGGGTCTAGCCTATATACAGTATGGAGTGTATGATGGGATCCCAGATTTAGCTCAGCAGCACTGCGGCAGGAGGACAGTGCAGAGCTGTTAGAAGTCAGAGGGGAGACGGAGAGGTAAAGATGGATGAGAACTTCAAATTAAAGTGGTAGATTTTAACTCTTAAAAGCACATTTCTCAATGCTGACAGTATCAAATCTTTGTGATTTATCTCGACATGTTCCGCTGAACAAAAGCTGATGAGCAGGTGTCTGTCAAAGTATTTAAGTTTGACTTTATCTAAAATCTAAAGTCGTAAGCAAATCTTCTCTGAGTATGATAAATAGTAGATGACATATTCTATTTTTCAGTCAATGGATGTTTTCTTGTTTCTACATTCAGTTTTAGGCCTTCCCTAACTTTAAAAAATTTAAAAACTTTTGCACTGCACTTACAAAATGATGGAAGGATAACAAGAGGCCGATGAAAAACACACTTGCCAAAATGATTTGACTTCTTTACTCACTGTTCTGGTTTAGTCACCAAAAAAATGCTAGCCTCCCATTTCCAAAAAACTTTGATACGTTGCGTAAAAGGCAAATAATGGTTGGGGATGAATTGCAAAACATTGAAATCCCATATTTAATTAAAAAAAAAGCACAAAAACATATTTAAAGAGGACATATTATCCCCCTTCTCCACCTTTTCAAACAGTCCCCTGTGGTCTAAATGAGACATCTGTGCTGTGCTTTGGTCAAAATATAACATGAATCAAGCACCAGAGGAGGTTTGTGACCCTGTATAAACCAGCTCTCTCAGAACGTTCCGTTTTGGTGTATGTGTCTCTTTAAATGCAATGAGCCCACCCCCCCCTGACTTTTCCTTGTAGACCTCACTCCTCTGTAGAGAGAATAAAAATGGCCGACCTGCACAAAAGTTTTGCTCTAGGCTGAGGGTGGAGTCCATGGGTGGAGATACCAAGGGAGGGGAGGGTTTTTTTTTTTTAACAGAATCCCACTGTGACATCACAAGGAGAGCACATTTGAAACAGATAATTTTACTCTGTGTTGTAACACTTATGCAGACCACAAACAAAGGACTGGATGGGTTTATTTCACATTTTGTGGGTCTGTAGACACTCAGGTTACCCAGATATATATTCAAAAACACTGTAAAATTAGATTTTTCATCATATGTCCCCTTTAATGTTGATACGGAGAAATGTCAATGTATTTGCAAAATAATTAACTTGGTGTTATTGACATATTTACAGCTCTACTGCTCCATATCTTCTTTTAACAAACACACTTTAAGCGTTTGAGTGCTGTAACTTGTTTTTTCTTGATGTAGGAGGTCAGCCGTTCAACAGTTTGATGTCTCTTTTGTCATATTTTAATCTGATGAGTCTCTATTGTCTATTAGCTGAAATGGGGTTGTAGATTCTACATTTCTGATTTGACCGTCACATCTGAAAGTCCTTGTGTTTCAGACTCCTTGTCCCAGTTTGTAACACAAACGTTCTCATAAAAAAAAGCTCTGTCTGCAGCAAAAGAGGACATTCAATAAAAGTTAGTAAGAGTTGTATTCCTCTTGACAATCCAGCCAAACATCAACATTGAAATCTGTGGAGTGCTCCATTTACAAAAGTACCACTAAGCTAAGATAATAGGTTATTTTATTGTTTATTTTACAATGTCTTTGAAAGAGAAAGATCCTGCAGTTATGTGTTTTAATGCAGTCATGTTATTGAAAAGGTGAATTCAGCACAGTGAAGGCTTTATTTTCAATGAATAACTCTTTTTGCCAGTGGAGCTCTGAACCTTTATTAAGTTTGGGACGTAGATGTAAGAAAACAGGAAGCTACGATGGAAGAGAAACAAGGTGAGAGGATAGTTTGTGGAGAGGAGGGAGACAGAGAGGTACTGTGCTGAAGGGAGACGGAGGGAGGGCAAGGGAAAAGAGAGGCAAAGAACAAAGGAGTATTGTATATAGTATAAACGGATACTAATCCTGTCCCAACAGTGCAAACTCAACTGAGACGAGAGAGATGAATAGAGGAGAAGAGGTGAAGAAGTAAAGAAGACTGGAGAGAGGTCAAACAGTAACAGTGACACGAGCCACCTGCTCCCATATGATGTTGTGAAAATAAAGATCCTGTCCGTCTTTGAATGTTTCATAAGGACACAAGATGCCCATATTAGCGTTACACAGTGGCGGTTCTAGACCACTTTTACTGAGGGGGGCCAAACTGGGGCCAGTTGTTTTGTCAGAGGGGAACATTAAACCCAGGTGAAAAATAGACAAAGATGATCGCTTTAAAATAAATATATAATATGCCAAATAATAGCACACATCATTAAATACCACAACTTTAAATACCATGATTTATATTTGTTTCAGTAACAGTATTTAATACTAGATTGTGAGTCCGGTTGTTGAGTCACTGTGTATGTGTTATGAGGGGGGCTCTTCCTTTAGGAGGGGTGGCCAAAGGGGGGACTGAGCTCAGAGTTACAGGGGCACTGGCCCCTGTTGGCTCCTGCCTAGAACCACGCATGGCATTACACATTGTTATTAATGCATTAGCATAATGATAATACATTCATGCTATAATGTCTTTTTTTTAAGACATATTTTTGGGCTTAGAGTCGGAAATCAGAGAGAGAGAGAGAGAGAGAGAGAGAGAGAGCGAGAGTGGGGAATGACGTGGGAAAAGTGCCATAGGTCGGATTTGAACACGGGCCACCTGCCAGGAGGACCACGACCTCCATACATGGGGCTCGTGCTAACCACTGCCCCACCAGCGCCCCGCTATAATGTCTTTTTAATTAAATATATTAGCATATTAACTATAAGCACAATGCATACCTTCTGTGAATGGGATTGCGATCCATCTGCTTTTATTTTGAAATAAAGTAAGGACCTTCTGGTGGATGAAAACAGCTCAAAGGAACAGTAACAAAGGTCAATGTGTGATGTCATAAGGTCAATGTGTGATGTCATAAGGTCAATGTGTGATGTCATAAGGTGGATATTACTTTGGAGTCGTCAGCTGAGCTGTCTGAGAGTTTGTTAAAGTGAAATGAGACATTCAAAGATGCAGCAGTGTCCTTCTACATCACTGAGACTACAGGGAGACTCTGAGGAGGACTATCTACGGTGAGCCTGAAGGGACAAAATAGGATGAGATTAATCAGGATGAAAAATGAACACATTCATTTCAAACCTTATTCAAAGTAATTACTGCTGATAGCACTACTTTACATGGCACACAGAACTCAGATTAGAGCAATGACAGTTCTCTCTCTGCTCTATCCCCCCCTCCCCTCCCCCCCGCCCTCTTAAAAAACATTTACTCTGAAACCGTAGGTCGTCTTTAATGTTCTTTAATCTGAACCACATTTTTCTTTCTTTGCAGAAGAGAAGAACAAGGAGTCGAGAAGAGCGGGGAGGAAATATGAAAGGAGAAACAGAGAGATAAAGCTGCAGACTGAAGGGACAAAGAAACTATTGATCTTGCACCAACGTGTGCTTTTGTGTTTGTGCGTGTGTGTGTTTGTCTGCATGAATGTAGGTGTATTACTTTTCTTTTTTACCCCTGTCTCTCTTTCTAATATTTCCTGCAGTCATGTGAATGTGAAATCCACCTTGTGGTTGAGCGAGTATTGGGGGTGTGTGACAAGTATTACTGTAATGTGTGTGCGTGCGTGTGTGTGCGTGTGTGCGTGTGTGTGTGTGTGTGTGTGCGTGCGTGTGCGTGTGCGTGTGCGTGTGTGTGTGCGTGTGTGTGTGTGGTGTGTGTGTGTCTGTGTGTGTGTGTGTGTGTGTGTGTGTGTGTGTGTGTGTGTGTGTGTGTGTGTGTGTGTGTGTGTTTTGTGTGTCCAGATTAGATGATAGCAGACGTAACAATCACCCTGTCTCTGCTGTCATAACACGAGGAAACATGAAACCACTGACGCACCTGTACACACACATGCAGACACACACACACACATACAAACGTACAGATTCAAACTGCGCTGTGACCAAGATTCTGAAACACACTGAAAAGCTCTACACATCAAAGCAAACACACACACACACACACACACACACACACACAAGCTGCATGTGTTTATGTGCTGCATCCAATATGTAGAAACACCTGAAGCAGGTCATTATGTGTTACAAACTAAACATGCTGCTGCAGATCTGCTCAAAAAGTGAATGGAAAAACCTCCATATTAAAAAAACTGAACATGAATACATTTCTATGATGACGTCACAGCTGAAGGTAGACTGGCCACCATTATAGCGGTTGCTCCTTAATGGTCAGTCGTCATAAATCCATATGTAAACATGTAAACAAATTTAACAAATGCAATACTTTTTAATGAATTCTTCATTCTATAATCTGTTGTTGTTGTTGTTTTGGAGTTGGAAACAGAAATAAAGCCCAAAGCCTCTGCTCCTGGAAATCTACTTTAATTTGAAATGACTATCAGTTTGCTGACAAAGACAACTCTAGCATATCTTCTGCTGGCTTTGCAAAGAATCGTGATCCTATCAGTCATAAGCTAGCGTAACGCTGTATCCGGGGGAATCTCATCTCTTACACAAGCAAGCTGCTCGGTTAAATGAACTGCAGTGGCTCACAGGGCTTCAGGCTATATCTAGAATCCAGAGGTTTAATACAAGCAGAGTTAACCTTTATTTTAGGTTCGTCATTATGAGTTTCAGACCAGTCAATCAATCAATCAATCAATCTTTATTTGTATAGCGCCAATTCACAACAAATGCTATCTCAAGACACTTTAAAAAAGAACCCCTGAAGTCCTGAAAATATTTCTTGAAGATATTAAGAGAGAGAGCGTTTGCAGCAGAAAGCGGCCACCTGGATGAAAAGCGTAACGCCCAGCGTCTTTTCTACAAGCGCTCTGACGTTTTTGTTCGGCCGCCCCGAGCGCTCAAGATGGAAATCTTTTAACATTTCAGAAAGGCGCTGTTGACGAATGTATGATATTCCCTGTATTTTAGAGACCTACGGATCGTATCCTGTACTCACAACCTCTCTGCTCCATGATCGGGGAAATAAGCGATCTCAAATAAAAAACATGCAGTAAAAAATAACAGAGCCGTGCCGGTCATAAAGAACTACACGGCAGAGGTCACAGATCACATACTTACCTGCAAACAAGAGCTCCAAAAACCCATCTCTGACTTATTCATTTAGTAGTTTTGATTTGCTGATTCATGAAATGGGATAAAAAGAAACTCTTGCACTAATTAACCCATTCTAGACGAGGCCAAATAACAGATCCCTTTTAGATTTTTGTATGGCATGCAGCTATAAGCTCTATTACCTCAGATCAAATACGCCCTCTCAGGGAGAGGCTGCTGTTTGATACTAACATTTATAACCGACTTTCAAGAAGTCCGACCCAAATCTGGTTCGTTGCTGTCTTCTATACCTTGGAAACATAGGGGAACATCTTGCAATTCATGTGTGAGAACTGGAAGAATGTACTTAGAGCAATCATGTGGAGGTGTTTTCTCTTTTGAAATCATAACTGAGCAGTTGTGCAAATTTACTTTAACCATAAGGAATGCTTTTGTACCTAGCCAGGGTTTGACTTCAATTAATGCTTCAGTTAATATTGAGGAAGTATAAGGCTGTGGAACACAAATATTATCTCTTATCAAGTCTGTGCAGTTAGTTTGAACCAGTGTTAACTGTAACTTGCATTGAAAAGCTAATTTAAAGTTTAATTTCACCAAATTGATTCGCAACAAAGCAGTTTGATTTATTCCTGGGGGTAAATAGTAGGTGTTTACCTCTTTAACTGTATCTAAGGCAAAATCCATATACCTTGAATATTCTGATTTAACTTTTGGATAAGCCGGTGAATAACAATCATCTGCACCTTTTTCCATTCTTGAACCTAAATCATTCCAGTCAAAAACACATAATCAACTTTGGAGAATGGAATAAGTGCAAACATAGGACAATACATTGATTTTGGCAAATTTTGACACAACCAACAGTTGCTGATAGTCTGCATAGTCTAACATTAAAAGAACAGCTGAGTTGCCCTTATCTGAATTCAAATGACTTTCTGTGGTTGATGCAGCTTTCAAAAGTGTCTGTAATTCAGTATTAACCTCAATGTCGGCTTCTCCATGTGTTTGTATCAATGTTGATACCAGTACTCCTCTTTCTTCATTAGCAAAAATATACTCATTATAATTGATAACTTATTTCCCATTGTGAACACTCTGGAACTCTTTCCAGTTGCTGTGTGGTGAAACAACAAAGGTAAGGTGTTTCCTTCAGTGGTCGTATCTTTCAGTATCTTACAGTGACAGAATAAAGGTTGTCTGTGTTACCTTAAGCTGCTCTGTATCCAGGACCCCCCATGTCCATGTCCCATTTGAATCCCGCTCTGGGAAGGCCAGCCGGCAGTTACCCTCTCAACATCGATTTTGAGGACATCTTATACAGGATTCACCTCTCTTTTCTGTCTGGAGAGGGGTGAAACAGAATCAAGATTAACAGTCTCATCAGGTTCACTTCCGTCATTTTTTCTCCAAATACTGTTCACCGAGTCTTGATGATGCCCCTCCTCAGGTTTGCCCTGGATACGCTGTAGGCCATTGCATCATCTGATCTGAAGGCGGTGTTGCGGGCCTTCACCAGGAGACGCACCTCCTTGTTCATCCATGGCTTCTGATTTGGGTACGTGGTGATCTGCTTCCATGTTGTAACACTGTCGATGGTGGTATTGATATAATCCAGCACAGAAGAAGTGTAGGTGTCAATGTCTGTGTGAGAGCCCAAGGTAGCCTGCGAAGCAAACATACTCCAGTCTGTGTGATGGAACTTGTCCTGAAGTACAGAGTCTGTCCCCGCTGGCCACACTTTAATCGTTGTTACTGATGGCTTCACACGTTGGGTGAGTGGGGAGTACTTTAAAAACAAACAAATATTGGCTATCTGGATGCAGAGGAATGGAGGAAAATCTCAATTTACATCAATGACTGTATCGTACTTTGAATCTGCCAGCATTGCTGCCAGAATGGAATTTATATCTGATAAAATCGGAACTGAAGGCACAAAAATGTTATTTACAGCCTGGAGACCTGCACAAACCTCGATTCATCAGGGCAGCCTGGCTTCGGGTTTGGCAAAATGGAGTGATAGTTTCAACCATCAAACCTTTATCAAAAGGGATTGAACTACAGCATCGATTCCTGTAATTGATTTCTTTGAGACAGAATGTATTGCCTAACATTTGATAGTTCCGCATAAGCTTTGAGTTTAACAATGAGACAGTGTTACAGATTCTCTGAAAATTCCAGAAAACCAACGTAATTTACTTTTAAACAAAAGTAAATCAAAACTTTATATCTTAACAAAAGTTCAAACTGAGAAAATTCATAAAAAGTCAAAAACTGGTACGTACTGGGAAACACTGACATAGACCGACATACAACATCCAACAACTATCAATGAACCCACAACAAAAGGGAAAGAACACTGAGACTAAATAGCCATGGGTAAACAAACACAAAAAGACAAAGAAAATTAAAGATTAATTAATTAAAATTAATTAAATTAAACATTAAAGACAATGGGAGCAATGGACGGCAATTAGGGCAATCGAACGACTACCATAAGTAATCAGCTCAGTGTGCACACAAATCTTATCACTTTGACATCCCTATAACTACAGAGTCTTACGTCCCGCCGGACACAGATTCACCTACTGGTCTTACCTATATCGAAATGAATTCTTAATAATCCACCCCGGGACGTCTCCCCTAGGATATAAATTCACAGTTTGATCTTATCTGTGTCGAGTCACAGCTCAAAAAGAACAGCTGGCTCAGACATCCGAGACACCCGCAGGATGCTTGACAGACCAACTCTCACCAATTTGCAAATACAAGCAATCAATGATTCTCAATCATTGACAATTTATTCAATTTCTATTATATGTAAATATTATTCAACAGCATGTTGTCAAGCTTACAATAATTTCATCCGAATTACAGTTTCTTTAGATATCGTCAAACTCAGACATGGCAGTAGCAAAGAATAAAAATTGTTTGCACTTACCAATCTTTGTTTGTAGATATCCTGTTCGTGACGCCAATTTGTTGAAGAAATGACTAAGACTTGACTCCATACAATAAGATTCAGTTGACTCAGATGGCTTACGTTGATGAAAGTATATACATATGATGAATACTCGTCAAGGAGACATGATTCAACATCACACTTCTATTCTCGTGTCTTGCTCAATCATATCTGCCGAACTTTTTGAAAGGCATCGCATATATCCTAAAATACATTATCATTATCAGGGTCACATTGACCCACCTAGACTAATCTGTGACATCAATAACACTGGAGCAGACAACAAGTCTACCAAACATCCTTACAGATATCAGGAAGAACAGTTGACACTCTCTAAGCTGTACTTGGTGTTCTAATAACAGCTGAACTCTGTCAGGTCTGACTGACATTGGAGAACAGTAAATAAACCAAATGACATCTGTACATTATAATCTAAATAACTACAGACATTCCACCACACCGCCCCCTGCTGGCATGGAGAGTTATTTCCTCTCACGCATGCGCAGAATGTAGGTGGTGGTTGGCCGTCGGCTGCAGTCTTTGCGGTCTTCTTCGCCACTAGTTCTTTGCCGTCTGCTTGGTGTGTCAGGGCCTTTATGTTTTATAAGGGGACATTAACAGAGGCTCAGCAAAACAGAGTTGGCGCTCTTCAATCAACTTCAATCACTGAATCACTGAAGTGCATAAAATACTCACGATGAGTATATAATTTGAAGTGTCTGACATATCTGGAAATTAGGTCAGCTCTGTTTCTTATTAAGAATGTGCAAAACGACAGTTTGTAGTAATTATATTTGAGACCAGTGATGTTTTTTGAGTTATCCAGAAATCCTAAATCTACGACAGGAGCCCTCTCAGTGGAATGTGTACAATGGGGCCCCTGTGTCCAGAGAGTTGCCCAGGGACATCTGGACAAGAGATTGTATCTGTGACCTGTGTTGTCCTTTGAGTTTATGACATACATATATCTAAGACAGAAACCCCCGCAGTTGTAGTAAGAGGGGTGTCCTGAAAACAAACAGATGTCCCCATGTTGTTCTCCTGTGGGGTGTGTCCATAAATACCAGAGTTTCTGTGTGTTCGGGGGGAGATCACTTTTGGCTGTGTCTCTCCCAGGTCGAACCATGGCGAGCCTGGCGATGCTGTAACTTGTTTGTCAATAAAATGATCATTATAATGTACACTTTCAGGCACCTCTCCAGCTACCAGGCCAATTTCTGGAATTGGTCTGTGCTGGGTCTTGAACCGGTGACCCTCTGAGTCCCAAACCAAGTCCCTACAGACTGAGCTACTGCCGCCCCATTATGAAAGAAAGTCAGCCTGGATGAAAAGCGTAACGCCC